TATATATATAAATATCATCATCATCATCACCATCACCATTACTATCATCGTCATCATCATTGTAGATAGCATCATCATCATCATCATCATCATCACCATCGTCATCATCATCATCATCCCCATCATCATCATCATCATCATCATCATCGCCGTCGTCATCGTCGTCATCATCAACATTGTAGAGAGCATCATCATCATCATCATCATCATCGTCGTCGTCGTAGTCGTCTTCGTCATCACCATCACCATCATCATCATCACCGTTGCCATGATATTTCCCAGGTTCCCCCCCCCTCCCTTCCCAGGGCAGTGCCACTGACTGGTGTCTTTAGGTCATTCCTAAAGGGGGGGGGGATATTAACATGTTCTTATACACAGTAGAATTGTCAAGGGGCTGATTCATCAATGTCACGCTCATACTGTGCTGGAACAACATAGGGGGAACTGCTGCTTTTTCTTTCCTCATCCTTACTATCGTCATTTGTTCACTACTTCTTTTGTATATTCGTCACTTTGTTGTGAACTGCTATTTCCTGGGTGGCTTGATAGTCGAAGCAGACTTTGTGCTGTTGAGGCTAGGGAGGTGAGCAGAGTAAGCCTGATTCCCCGTTTGGACTTATCTGTTGATATCCACCCCTTGGTGCTCACATGACCCTATGCAGTTGCCAGCGCCATAAAACGTTGCTAAAACAAAAATAAAATATTTTCCAGGTCGTGTGGGCCGGTTCTCTGTGCCTGGTTGGCGACGTAACAGCAGCCCGATCCACAAGTCTGACGATCTGAGCAGATCTGGGTTGGGGCCAGGGACCGGCAGTAAGAGAGGTGCCATTGACTTCCAGGTGGGTAGAGAAATAATTATAGATAGCACCTCACCTCACCTCACTTCATCTCGCCTCACCTCACCTCACCTCACATTACATCACATCACCTCACCTCACCTCACCCCATCCCACCCCACCCCACCTCACCTCACCCACCTCATCTCATTTCACCTCACTCGCCAGAACCATGGGTGGTTGGCGGGTGCTCTGGTGTGGTTTGCTCCTTCTTTCCTATCAAACATCTATCGTCCTGATCTCTCCTCCATCTTTTTTGTGTTTGTTACTCTCTTGTAAAACTTCTAATCTTCAGCTCCTATACGACCTTATTGTGTTGCAAGTGCCATAAAACTCTTACTAAAACAATCACCAGGACCCCGGGGTATGGAGCACAGTGACCACAGGGAAGTACAAGCCCGGCCCCAAAGTCCCGCTCGTCTCAACCCACCTCACCCCACCCCACCTCACCTCATCTAATCTCACCTCACCTCTCCCCACCTCACCTCATCTCACCCCACCTCACCCCACTTCATCTAATCTCACCTCAACCCATCCCACCCCACCTAATCTAATCTCACCTCACCTCACCCCACCACACCTCATCTCACCCCACCTCATCTAATGTCACCTCACCTCACCCCACCTCATCTCACCCCACATCTCCTCACCCCACCTCATCTAATCTCACCTCACCTCTCACCTCACTTCACCTCATCTCACCCCACCTCATCTCACCCCACCTCTCCTCACCCCACCTCATCTAATCTCACCTCACCCCACCTCATCCAATCTCACCTCACCTCACCTCACCTCACCTCACCTCACTTCACCTCACCTCACTTCACCTCACTTCACCTCACCTCACCCCACCTCTCCTCACTT